AGGAATTCTAAAGGTAATAAAATTAACCTCTTGCAGATCAAAATCCATTTCGATAAGGAACTCCACAGTTGATAAAATCTATCAACTAACCTCTTGTTGAGCAAAACCCGCTTCGACTTCTAAAGTTGACAAAATCCATCAACAAACCTCTTGTCGAGCAAAATCCACTTTGGCAAGGAACTCCAGAGTTGATAAAATCCATCAACTAACCTCTTGCCGAGCAAAACCCATTTTGGTAAAGAATTCTAGAGTAGATAAAATCTATCAACAAACCTCTTGCCGAGAAAAATTCGCTTCAACAAACCTTTTACCAAGCAAAATCTGCTTCGGCAAGGAACTCTAGTGTTGATAAAATACATTAACTAACCTTTTGACGAGCAAAACCCACTTCGACAAGGAATTCTAATCTTTCTAGCGAAATAATCATCAGTTACCCCTTGAACCTCGCTAAATTTATTTGGTGGTGCGAAAATACAACAATTTTTAAGAAAACAGTTTACTTGTTTCATTACATCAATAGTGGAAAGGGTTACAAAAACTTCAGATTGGCAGCGTTTTGGGAATAGATCAGTCATTTATATCCTGCGAATTTTATGCCCCTTTTCCTCGACTTTCTTTCCGCCATTGTTCAGGTGGTTATCTTCCTATCTAACGGCATGAACTTTCCCCCCCAGCCTATTTGTCCGCTACTACCGGATTTGTCTTCGTGGTAGCTGCGGTTATGTCATCTTCAACCTTTGTATGCTCATTAAGCCTTTGCTTCAATAGCTCCAGCGTTGGGGGCTGAGTCATCGTGAGTGAGTCCCTTAGTTTATGTCTGACTAGTAGACCCCATCTGTATTGAACGATAGCCAAGTTGGTTGGGAAATTATGGATCTCATTGAATGCATGCCAACACCTAGCGTTAAACGCCTTTAATGCTTCTCCTGGTTTCATGCTCACCCCTAAGAGATGGTCGACCTCCTTTGGCACTGTTGTATTTGTCTCAAATCTAGTGACAAATCCCCGGCCAAGTGCTGCCAACTATGAATGCTCCCATCTGGCAATCCTTCGAACCATTTGAGCCCTTGCTCGCCCAAACTTGATAGGAACAACACGTACATTAGGGCGTCATTACACCTATGAATAGTCATGACATGGCGAAAATGACTTATGTGTAAGTAAAGGTCAATCGTCCCACCGTAAAGGTTAAACTTGAGCTGGTGAAAGCTCGTGAGGAGAGGTACGTCCTCAACTTCCAAAGAAAATGGAGTGGCATTCAACCTTTCCAAGTTCCTATCTGCAAGTGCACGCACTGCAGCACATAGTGGCAACATATCGATTGCTGTGCTCTCGTGGGATCTTGGTGCTAACCTTTGCAATGCCGGCAACCTTTGGGCTTTCTTCTGCTTTGCTCTCTATTCTAGGACATTTCTTAGGTCCTCGAAACGAGTGGAGTAGGAATATCTAAATGTTGTAGTAGGTTGCGATGGGTGAGAGCTGCTCGGCATAGAACCTCTCTGTTAGCGAAAGAGAACTATCCTTTCTGAAGCTTCTAGTAATGGAGAGCGTCAGTGCTTCTCCGTTTCTTCGATCATTTGAATGAATGGGCAATGCGCATTTACTGTGGTATCCCACTCTAGGTATGTCATTTCCCTTTAATTGTCGCTTCATGGTCTCCATCTTTGCTGCCATGTTTTGGATAACAGCATCTTGGCTCCTTAATTTGTTCTCTAAGTGTTGAGTGTATGACTCTTTATGTCGTCGCGCTTCAGGGCCCTTTGAGCGTTCCGGACTCCTTGCACGTTTGTCTCGTGCTTGGATAGTCAATCCGCCTGCAGAGGCATCTAGATTCGCCATCGTTGGGACAGAGGGCAAGACATCTCGCCTCCTAACATATTCTGGTGTTCCTTTGTCGACGGCGGACATTGAAAGGGCATTGTTGTTCGCCATCTTTCTAGAGACTCGTGGAGAGCAAGGTTTTGTCAAGAAATTCCTACAGATGACGCCAATTGTACGGGGAGTAAATAATCTTCGTTTCCGTACTCCTTTTCTTCGCGTTGGTCTCACTCCAGACAGCATCGTCTCTTCTACAAACACAATAGAAGTGAGATAACCAACGAGTGTCTCGCCGAAAAACCCCTCTGATGGTCAAGTTAGCACCCTCAGAGAATATAAGAGAATGAGAGAGTTCTTTGGCTCCAGATTGCTTACCTTTAAAAATGAACTCGTAGGTTTTATATAGACAACTTGTCATATTTCTCCATGTGGTGCGCATTATTTCCATTGTCTTGGATCGTAGACATTCTGTTCTCTTATTCTCTTACACACAAGTACCTATCAGAAGTAGACAACCCGACAAACAGCAATAACTTGGACTAGTCAAAGTTTGTCTCCCACGTACCATTGGGCCATGCACAGTATGCAACCAAGTTAGTCTTGGCCGAGCTAATAGTAGCTCGGTCAAACTTGTGAACCTTACCCATGGGTCCGACACCTTGTTGTTATTCATAGCCTGGTTAAGCCATCAGCTCGGTTGAAGACACGTAAGCTTCCACCAGCCTTATCCTCCAGCAAAGGCTTAGTTCTGCTCGGTCCATCACAGATATATGGGCTTAGCTCGGTCCAAATGAAGAGTATCTCGATCAATATGAGAGGTAACACTACCAACTCTATTAGGCACACTCAAATCCATCCTTAGTTCGGTCCAACTGACTGCAAAATGGTGGATTTAGCTCGGCTCACCACATGGATAGCTCGGCCCTTTCTATTCGGTGGAAATTCCCCTCTCAGGTTCAATCTTCTTTTTGTTAATATTCAGGATCAATTTAATCTTCTTGTTTAATAATTCCTAGTCATTGGGCTTCAGTTTTTTAAAATTGGAAGAAACTAAATAGTGTTGAAAATAAATAATTTCTATAATTAATTTCATTTAATAGGTAGTTGGATTGATGCAATTCAATTTGCCTATTTTGGCAACATGAGTAAAAGTCAATTTTTTGACTTTTTGACTTTTTTGAGTCACATTACCTTTTTACTGTTTTATATGTTTTTTTTTAAAAAAAAAATTAAAAATTAAAAAGTTAACTTTTAGCCTACTTCTCAAAATAGGAGTGGTAAGAAAATTTCAAATAATAAGATTGGTGCCAAGTTCAAATCTCAACTGGAGAGAACTCGAGGGGCCTGTGGAGTCCACCAATAGTCTCATTTCGATAATCTAAATCATTCATTTTGTAAGACTATTCATAAATATCATTTATGAAAAAAATTAAGCCCATCTGATAATTGTCTCCAAAAAAATAAATGGTCTATTTTATATACATACTAGTCATTTATTTATTTTTTTAGGCAAACACAATAAAATGAAAAATGTTATGATTATCGAATTCGCTTAATTTTTTTTATTTGTTTTTTGTAAATAATATATATGAAGACCCCTTACAAAGTGAACGTGATTAAATCATCGAAACGGGACTCATGGTAACCTCCACAGGCTCGTCAAGTTCTCTCAAATTGAGATTTGAACATAAAAAAACGTAAACCCTCTAGAAATCCCACTTCATATGAAGTCCCTTTTTTTTAAAATAAAAAAAAATATTTATATATAGGGGGTGTTTGGCAAAGGCTTGTTTTGGGCATTTTGGGCTAAAATTCACAAAACAAAACAAAACAAAATAGGCTAAAATAACTAATAAGACGATATCACATTAAATTCATAATCATTTCACTTTTTCTCTCACAAACATTACATCCAACTACAAAAAAATTTAACTATTTTCCCAAACACAAAAAATTTAACCTACTAAAATAATCAAAAACTAAAATAGCTTACTCAAACACCCACATTTATATGGTATACACTCTCAATCCTCATTTTCTACTCTCTTTCTCTCTCTGGTTTCAAATCTTTCACACAGATTTTTCTCTCCTCCTTCTCTACCACCACTGCAGCCGGAGATCCAGAAGTCATGGACGTCGAAGCCTTCTCAGCGACGACGATGGGATCGTCGATGATGACGACGGTGATTGAGAACTTGAGGACCATGGAAGCAATGACGACCAGTATGATTAGTGGTCTTGTTAGTATATTATTATATGTTAGTGTTTAGCTTTAATAATTAGTGTCCCCTTGTTTTAGCCTTTCGGTGGCCACTTACAGGCTACTTGATGTAACTACTCTCTTCTATAAAGGAGAGTCCTTTGAACCCTGTAAACATAACATTCAATACATCAATATATACACAATTTATTCTCTCTCTTTCTCTATACATTAAACTAACATGGTATCAGAGCTAGGTTAAGAACCTAGTAATTCTGCTTCACCAGCAGGCGGCAACCTCGCCTTCGCCACCCGCCGGACCTCTGCACATATCTTCACTCTGCTGCCATATTTCTTGCTGCCGTGAACCATCACTATTTCTTGCTGCAGCTTTGTTACAGCATAACTCTTACCCACGTCGTCGAACACCCCGTCAGCCCATACGACAGCCACCGACGCCATGATCTGGCCAACGCCGACCACGCCACCTGTCACCACTGCTGCAGATGCCGTGACACAAGTTCCTACTAGCTTACCACCGAGGCAGCCGCCGCCGCCTCCTACATCTGCAGCCAATACGCTGCCGCCGGTGGACCTGACACACCTGGCTGCCAACACCGCCAGCTACCGCATGCCGCAGCACCTCTTCTTCTTTCGTCAATCTCGCGAACGCGCCGTCGTCTCTGTCGAGATCTCCGCCTTCTCCATCGAACACTCACGCTATGTCGTACGTCGACGTTGGCTACCTCTGTTACCTTGCTCCGTCGTGGCACGAGAAGCTCCAGCCGCTGCTCTGGACCGTTCTCGCTCTCTCTCTCTTCTCTGTTTTGTCAAAGCGATTCAAGCTCCGATCAAAGACAGGTTCAACAGTTGGGCAACTTTTTCTTGGTTGAACTTCCAAACAATGTACCCCGGTGGCTATACTGTAGAAGTAACGTGTCTATCTCCTAGAGCAACGGAAAAGGACGTTTATTTTACTGTGGCTCACTGTGGTGTAGTTGAACATGTGGAAATCATCAGGTAGTTTTCAACAAATTAGTTTTTGGTTACTGGATTTGAATCTGCTATGTAGTTCTTGTCATAATTTGATCTGTTTTCCATTTTATTCTTCAAACTCTTTGGAAAATGGTTTGTTGTGAAAAGTCAAAATTTGGATCTTTGCTTTATGTACTTTTGGCTGTCTGGTTTGAAAGCAGATGTTGCACAAATTCCAGTTGCTTAATAAAAGGTGGGTTTAGGCACAGATTCATTTCAAAATTTGTGCCTTTTCAGGCAAAGTTCATGCTTTAATACAAGGCCATTTGAGCATTGTGAGGCATTGCACAATTTTTGATGTGAGATCTGTCATAGGATATTACTGAAGGGTATGAACTTAATGTTCTGCTTTCATTTGTGATTATAGATGGGAAAAGCTATAATTGATGCATTTAAGATGTTGAATTTCTCCAAAAAATGATATATAGAATGTTGAAAAATTAAACTGCCACCTGACAACTAAGTGCACTCTTAACCGCAAAATGTGTCTTGTTTTGATCTATTGTATAGTTTAATTAAATGAGAAGATTTTAAGAAAGCGTATATCAGCTGGTGTTTGTCATTAATTGTAAATTATAATCTTTTCTTTTATCTCCTTGGTTATAAAATTAAGCATTTCATATTTACCACCGAAAAAAAAGAGGTACTTTTATTAGAGAACAGGATGCCCTACTGGCTTTCCTTGTTTATCTATATGCTCAACTATTTGGTTGTGTCAAGTTTCTGATTGGAGAATTTCTATTTTGCTAAAATCAGATCTGGCGAGTATTCTTGCACTGCCTATGTGACATTTAAAGATGCCTATGCTCTGGAAACTGCTGTCTTGCTCAGTGTAAGTTTCTATTTACACTCCCCTCCCCTGGATAGGGAAAGTAAGGGTAACTTTAGAAGGAATTGATTTTCAAGATGTTTTTCTACCTCAGCAGTTTCAATATTACAAGTCATTGATGTACTTTGGATCCAACATCTGAACTAACCTCATCACGCTCTTGACTGACAACAAACCTGACGCAGAACTCTTTATCTCTCTCTCTCTCTCTACCAGATCTGCCACTGAGGAGATCATAGGAATATTATCTGCTGATACATAAATATGTCGTGTATGTCTTTGATTTTTGTCTCTTTTGTCTGATTTAGTCAAAGATCGGAGCATTATTCTCACTTCAATTCAATTTTACTGATGTAATTTGTAATTTGTCTATACTTCTGTTTAGTTGGTGAGAAAACCAAAGGAAATAAGAGAAATTCTCAAATATTTTATTCTTCGATAACAGATGAGAAGAAAATCACCGCAAAAAATGCTTGTTTTAGACATAATTAGGTGAGTTTTTTCCGTTGAAAAAAATTCACCGATTCAGAGTGTTGAATTTGTTTTACTTTTCGGCATTTGTTGTCTATCTTTTGCTTGAGAGCTTCTCACATCTCAAATGCAGGCAATGCTCAAATTCACTAATCAAGTCGTTGTGCATGCTGCTCAACATAGTAAAGCGCGCACACCGATCTTTGTTACATCAAGTCTGAAAGGCTTCAAGATCACGACGATGTTGAGCATGGAATTAAATTAAATTTTGATAATTATCACTAGAGGCACAAGAAATGATTATGAACATAGCAAATTTTTGATCTTGAGATATGTGTAAAATTATCATTATTTAATTTAGATTTTTTTTTTGCTGCAAAATAAATTTTTTTTTTGTGTTGCTATCATTAATATCCCCTGCGCATTTGTTTACTCTATATGTAGAAATGGTTGCTAAAACAGTGGTGGCAGAGCTAACTAAGGGAGAGAAATTGGATGGAGACAATCATGACATATGGCGCCGTAAGATCCAATACCTCCTCAATGAGCAAGAAGTGTTGACCACACTTGAACAAGTGATGGTTGAGTCAGAGCAGGGCAATACAGCTCAACATCATCGTGATCTTGAAGCCTTTTAAACTTGGCGTAACAAAGATCGGTGTGCGCGCTTTACTATGTTGAGCAGCATGCACAACGACTTGATTAGTGAGTTTGAGCATTGCCCGACTGCATTTGAGATGTGGGAAGCTCTCAAGCAAAAGTTTGGTATTACCTCTTTGGCAAAGCTACGTGGGCTGACTATGAAGTTTGACTCATATCAGAAAAGGGCGCATCACTCGATGAAGCAGCATTTGAGAGTCATGTCAGCCATGATACGTGAGCTTGCGGCTGCTGGGCATAATTTGACTCAAGAGCAGCAAGTACAAGCTGTGATTTGCTCTCTGCCAAATTCTTGGGAGCAAATGAAATGTAAATCAGCAGTATAACGCAGCGGAATAAAAATTATGGTCATACCTTTCCTGCAGAGTCTGAATAGAAAAGATCTCGTGGGTAAATCACGTGCTTCCTGAATCTGACCAGTCAACCCAGCAGTGGGGTGATATTACAACAGTGAATATCACCCACACAGATCACAGTGCAAACGGCTTTGATCGTTGTTTTTGGGAGAGAGTCAAAATATGGAAAATTTCTGTGTGTTTTAGACTTGACAGGAGGGTCTCAATTTATACATGTATAGGGGAGAGAGGAAAAGCCTCCAGCCTTTATGGCTGGTCATTAATGCACCATTAACCTCTGCAATAAAGGCAAGAGTTACAAACCCCATTAATGCAGGAGTTACAAACCGGGCTGCGGAAGCAATAATACAAAATAGACAAGGTCCAAGGAGCTGTGATAACGCACATGGGACAGAACATTTCAAAACATATTTATATATATAAACATACCAGTCCAGGTACACAATATTTACAAAGTATTACATCCCAAGACCTGTCTTTACAAATCACATACAGAGACTAGTATGAATACAAAAACAGCCAGACTTCGACCGGAACCTCCTCGGGAGACGCAACAGTTGGCTGACAAAACAGACAGAAGGCCGTCAACTCTGGCCCTGGTCATGTGCCGGCTC